TGCAGTGCCGTTCCTACTCATTAACACTCAAACACTTGGTAATGGCAGCAATCATTCTCCCCCAGCCCCCCGTCCAGATGTGGTTGTACGTGTTTTACTGTAAGATGGAGGACAATTTGGCGAATGACTTTATGCTGAAGATTGGCTCCTGTTTATTTTTTGTCTCAAGGCAAAAACAAGAGCAAACGAGAACAAGAACTACACTATCCTCATTCAGGTAAGGCCCAGCACAGCTCACCATGTATTACAAGGCTTTTTGTGTGGAGTTTGCATGTTCGCTCCATGTCCGCGTAAGTTTCCTCCAGGGGATCCGGTTTCCCTGTACCACTAAGTACATGTGGTCTAGTATGTGCCTTTGGTATAGGCGCCCCCTCTCCCATGTGTGGAGCGAGAAGACACAACATGAAAGCATTTATTGGCTCTGGTCTGAAATCGTCACTGACCCCTGCCCCACATGGCCGTCACTTTATGCTACTGTCACTTTATGCTACTGTCACTTTAACTGCTTTACTAAATGTCTGTTGTGTGTACTTATATATAGTTGTACATTGAAGGAATTGTACGAAGATCTTTATTTCTTTATTTTCATGCATGCCTTTACGTATTTTTAGTTTTTGCACCTTGAGCCGAAGCAAATTCCTATAGTTTGTGACTTCCTGTTGCTTAAAATGGCAATAAAAAGATTTGATTGTGTATTTTTTTCATTCACCTTTCCACCAACTCAGACCCGTATCCCTGCTGAAGAAATGCAGCCCCACAGCATGATGCTGCCACCCCCAATGTCCCACTTTGAACATTGCACCGAGGGTGTTAGTTTTCATTTATTTATTTTATTAACAAAATTGTTTTGTCACGATTGTATGTTACTTTGTGGTGGTCTTTCCGTAAAATACAATCAAATAAAATCTTTTACGGCCATTTGTGGCTGTAACATGACAAAATATGCAAGAGTTCAAAGTGTATGAATACTTTTACCAAGCACTGTAAAGGGTCAGACATTATCCGTGTTAGTTCTTCTGTTTTACAAGCTTGATTGCCTTCTATTTACTTCTTTTGCTGTATTCAAATGGTGCTTTTTCCACAAATAATGAAATGTTTTATTGTATCTGCTTGGTCTGGACTCCCATGTGTTGGTTTTTGCTAATCCAAGTCAAGCAAGGCGCACGTGTAGTGGGGAAGAGACAAAGCGCCTCTCATTTAGACAAACAGACATACACACACAAACACGTTCATAAATACAAGGGAAACAAACTGCCTGCGAGCAGTGTGTGAACTCAAAACTGTGTCACTCAAAGCTGCAAAATAAAATCTATGGGACACAATGGCGGCTTAGTGTCAGACGCACTAAGCCCGTTTTCTCATAATATATCTGAGCTTTTACAGCTTAATAATGAGCTCCCCCTGCTGAGCTATCCACACGACAACACAACATCCCGCAAATACTTTCTATTTTTTAAGATTGGGGCTTTTTCCTCCCACGGCACGGTGGCTGAGTGGATAGCACTCTCGCCTCTCAGCAAGAAGGTCCTGGGTTCGAATCCCGGTTGGACCAGGGCCTTTCTGAGTGGAGTTTGCATGTTCTCCCCGTGTCTGCGTAGGTTTCCTCCGGGTGCTCCGGTTTCCCCTACCACTAAAAATATGTACAATAGATCTAGCATGTGCCTCCTGTACTGGCGACCCCCAATCCCAAAAAAAAAAATCACAATTGTAAACCGCTTTGAGACTCCGATGTGCAGTGAAAAGGCGGTATATAAATAAAGATTACTTACTTACTATTACTTACTCCCAGCGGGCGCCATATAGGGTTATTTAGAAAGTTTAGAAACACTGCTAAACAACACGCTCTCCACCAGGGTGTTCCTGCAGTTGTGGAATGAGGAAAGACGTATCAGTATTTTTGCTCTTAGAACATTATATTGAGACTATTTACTTTGTCATTGCATGTTTAGAATGGAAAATAATACCTTACAGTACAATATATACTGAAACAAGTACGTGTCATGAGGTGGAATGAACAAAGCCAATTCAAAATACAGGACTTGTCAAGGGGTGGGATGATGGACTCAAAATGCAGGAATGCAAAAAAAAAATGATTTAATAAAATAAAGTCCAGGTGAAAACTAAACTCAAAATCCAAGAATACAGAACCAGGAACAAAGACAGAACTTGACATGACGAAACAGGACATTGACATAACAATGGACCAGCAACATGTGGAGAGGGGCACAGGGTAATTATAGACAGGGACAAAGGTGAAACACATCAGGGCGGGGCAGACAATCAAGACAGGGGAAACAGCACAGAAGTCAAACTCAAAACCAAACCACAGAGAAACAATGTCAAAATAAAACCAAAGTACAAAAATAAAAGCCACACCATGACAGAACTCCCAAAGCAGGCAATTTGACGGCTTGGGTTTACATAACTTTGTGACTTTTTCTGTCTCTATATGATGCTTATTCTAATCTAATTCTTTTCATTAAATTAACTTTTTTTTTGATGTGAGTGATTCTATCATTAACTCCTATAAGACCCAGTACTAGTTACCATAGCAACACGCTGTTTACTGTTTGCAGTTAGCATTTAGCCTCTCTTGTATTTCAAGTTATATTCACCAGTTATAGCATTTATTTAAATGACTTACTTTTAATAAATTCGATTTCCATTGGTTTGAATGGGAGCAGTCAAAATGACGGCTCTATGAGTTTAAAATGCAATCTTTTGTTGTTGTTTGGATTTTTACTATTAATCCTCTTTCTTCAACTGTCACATTTCTGTTGATTTCACATAAATAATCTTTACAGTGATCCATGTTCAAACACACACACACACACATACACATACACACACAAACACGCACACACACAGACGCACACGCTGACACTTACACGCACACACACTATCTGAACTCTGTACAATTGTAAAGCGCATTGGGTGACCTTTATCTGTAAAATGCGCTATATACCGTAAATAAACATTACTTACTTACAAACTGAACACACCCACACACACACACATACAGACACACACACTGACTGGACACACACACACACAAACATATAGACAAATGCACACACTCTGAACACACACACTGACAAACACACACTAAGTTTATGGTGGCGCGCGTTCGACCGTCACAACGCACGGACCTCTCGGCACGAACGGACTGTCCAATAATGACGCACGGACTTGGCGGGAAAGTGAAAAGGGAGGAGCAGGAGCGAAAAATCGACGCCCACAGGAGATGGATTCTGCTCATCCTTTCCTTGGGACGTTCGTGCGACAACCAATCAGAGAGCAGCAAAGTGGTCACGGGGACATTAGCGGACTGAGCGAGCAGACTGAAAATACTGTAAACAGCCAAAACAGGACCCACACCAGACTTCACCAGAACTCAAACCAGGGCTGACAATGGGGGACTCTGTGCTTGTCATGCTCCCGTGACCTTATGCAACGACTTCGAGTGTGTTCGCCGATGCGGAAACACTGTTTAATAATATGAAAAAACGTATGGCGCACCTCTGTGAACACATACTGCTGTTATATAAAGTCACCTCCGTGAACACATACTGCTGTTATATAAAGTCACCTCCGTGAACACATACTGCTGTTATATAAAGTCACCTCCGTGAACACATACTGCTGTTATATAAAGTCACCTCCGTGAACACATACTACTGTTATATAAAGTCACCTCCGTGAACACATACTGCTGTTATATAAAGTCACCTCCGTGAACACATACTGCTGTTATATAAAGTCACCTCCGTGAACACATACTGCTGTTATATAAAGTCACCTCCGTGAACACATACTGCTGTTATATAAAGTCACCTCCGTGAACACATACTGCTGTTATATAAAGTCACCTCCGTGAACACATACTGCTGTTATATAAAGTCACCTCCGTGAACACATACTACTGTTATATAAAGTCACCTCCGTGAACACATACTGCTGTTATATAAAGTCTCCTCCGTGAACACATACTGCTGTTATATAAAGTCACCTCCGTGAACACATACTGCTGTTATATAAAGCCCATGGAATGTCTGTGAGCAAAGACACGCTGCAAAGCTGCATATTGGAGAAGATCTGTGCACAAGAAGCCGCTAGCATAGCTCTGTTAGCATCAGAGCCGGCTACTTCCGGTACTTCCGGCTCACGTCAGGACGTTCTGGTGTGAAGTCCTCTGCGTCTGAAAACTAGAGAATGCGCGTCTGGTGAGCGGGGCTTCAGCGTTTCAGCGTTGGCGGTCTCAAAGCCCCATAAGCGGCAGAAGTGCGTCACAAAGAGATTTGTGTGTAAAACAGAGCCTGTGTGTAGCACTTAGGCTTTTTTACGTTCTTCTCTTCGTACAACGTGGTTATTTACACACAGATTGTTCTGTTACAGATACAAATGTCAAATTACACACACACAAATCTTGATATGTACATACAAATCTATTTACACACGCACAAATATTTCTTTTACACTCACACAAATCTGTTTACGCACGCACAAATCTTTTTACGTACACACAAATCTGGTTACGCACGCACAAATCTTTTTACGCACACACAAATATGTTTACGCACGCACAAATATTATTGAAACAATAATAGCTCCATTTATAAGCCTTGAAGGAGAGTTTTTCATCGAAAATGACTCCAAGATTCCTTACAGTGTTGCTGGGTACAATACTGACATTATCGAGAGTGATTATCTGGTCAGTACCATTCCAAACCTGTGTGTGTGCGTGTGTGTTTCTTTTTGTGTGTGTGTTTTTGTGTGTGTGTGCATGTGTGTGTTTTTTGTGTGTGTGTGCGTGTACTTCACGGAGGACGTCCTGTGTGATACATGCACATGCCCTGTCTGTCACATTCACTCATAATTATCACTCCGTACCATTAAAGCAACTGTGTGCGAGTGCCTTGGCGGCCTGCTTTAGTGCCGAGTTTAATCTATGACCGGTTCACATTTCATTATTAACACGGTAATGGATCCCATTCAAGAGATTAAGCCATGGAGTAGTTGCTGGTGACTGCAAAAAGAGATGTTAGATTTTTGTTCAAACAGTCAGAGGGTTTGATGGTGCTGCCGACGAGCGAGAGGTTTTTATCCAGGGTTGTAAAATTCCACCGTGATAAACGATAGAACATGTATTTACTTGTGTGGCCCCTCCGCTCCTCGCCGCTTTGTATTTGTTGTGTGTAAATGCCATTCTTGCACCAGTTCCTTGGAGCATGGCGCACAAAAAACAAAAAAAAGCCATTTCACTTTGGAAAGACCCAAGAGGAAATGCAGTTAGAAGTTTATTGATTGAGTATGTTTGGCGCCCTAGGCCCGGGAGAGATGCTGATGAGTGCGGCGCTTGCTCGTGCGCATAATCCCCAAAAACGGGCAGAGTTATCTTTGCGCGCCGGGACGTGAGCGCTCGCATCACGATCACGGACGCTGTCTGGGACGTGAGCGCTCGCATCACGATCGATACCAGACGCTGTAGCAGAATTATCTTTGAGCGCCGGGACGTGAGCGCTCGCATCACGATCGATACCAGACGCTGTAGCAGAGTTATCTTTGAGCGCCGGGACGTGAGCGCTCGCATCACGATCACGGACGCTGTCTGGGACGTGAGCGCTCGCATCACGATCGATACCAGACGCTGTAGCAGTTATCTTTGAGCGCCGGGACGTGAGCGCTCGCATCACGATCACCGGACGCTGTCTGGGACGTGAGCGCTCGCATCACGATCGATACCAGACGCTGTAGCAGAGTTATCTTTGAGCGCCGGGACGTGAGCGCTCGCATCACGATCACCGGACGCTGTCTGGGACGTGAGCGCTCGCATCACGATCGATACCAGACGCTGTAGCAGAGTTATCTTTGAGCGCCGGGACGTGTGCGCTCGCATCACGATCAACCGGACGCTGTCTGGGACGTGAGCGCTCGCATCACGATCGGTACCAGACGCTGTGCAGAGTTATCTTTAAAGTGCGTGCCGCCACCAGAAATCCTATTGGTTCACTTACTTGCTTGTATTGCTTTGCTGGGAGCTTACGAGGAAGCCAGTAGCCGTTGTGCAGCCAAGATGGCGGACGCGTCTGGCCTGATGTAGGCGGAGAAGGCCGAAGAGGACCAGCGCCCCAGCTGTTGCAGAGAGGTGTGGGGGAGCCCCAGCGAGGCCGCGCGCGTGGCAGCGCCTATCCGAAAAGAATGGGCTGTGTAGAGCTGGGGAGATAATTTACAGAGGAGCAATAGGGATCTTAGTTGTGCTCTGAACCAGGTTGCTGTCATGGGAAGAATGTCTGGAGTGAGAAAGAGAGGTCCGTTAAAATCTCCTTTTTTGTAGCGGAGGCGAGTGTAGCGCATCATGGACCTGTAGGGGCAGAGAGATGTGTCCGAGCGAGCTATTACTATGTTGCAGGCTCCTTTGATTTTTGAATGTTTGAGACGGAGGTTGAAATGGTCAGGGTAATAGGCCAGATCGGAGAAAGCAATGTCTAGGGCCGCATTGAACGTAGAGTGAGCAGTGGTGAACTCGCTTATGCGGAGAAAGCCATAAAAGGCGAGCAGGAATGCGCAGCGAAGGAGAGCAGACGTGTACTTGGAGAAAGAGCCGGAGTTCAGTGTGGTGCAGAGCTGTTCCAGGATGGGCAGCGTGATGGGGAGCCGGTGGTCAGAAGAGTGGGGAGCACATTTGTTAATGCCTTTGAAGAGGAGTTTAATTGAGGGTTCAGAGAATAGAGAGGAGAAGGCGGGGTTGTGACAGCGGGCCCGAAACTGAATGCCAGAGAGCAGCGTGCGAATGTAGGTCGTTTTGTGATGGAGATTGTCTGAGCAGTGAACTATGAAGGCTATGACAGTAGATACGGATGGAGGTAATGAAGGGATGTTGTGAGCGTGGCAGAAGAGGGAATAGGTTCTCCATGCGGAGCTGTATGTAGATAGAGTAGAGGGGGAGAGGCCCTTTTTCATATAGGATGAAGCAGAGGAGAGGAGGTGAGAGAGGGAAGGTGAGACTAGTCCAGGGTTAGTTTGTCCATGGTGGGAACCGCGCGTGGCTCCGTGCAGGCTGAGGGGCAGAGGCGCCGGAACTCCTGAAATTTAAAACGAGACAGACAGTCAGCGATTTGATTAAGGTGACCGGGTTCGTGACGTGCAGTGATTATAAAATTATTCAAAACAGAGAACGAAGTAATGCGTCTGAGAAAAGACATAATGTTAGGCGAAGAAGAGCGGCCTTTGTTTAGTGCTTCCACCACGTCGAGATTGTCACACATTACGGAGATCCTTTTTCTCCGCCACGTATGACTCCAGAGCGCGCAGGCCACGACCACGGGGTAGATTTCGTGTAAGGCCGAGGAGATGCTCCGGGGAAAAGTAGCGGGCCACGGCCCGGCGAACCACTGGTCCTGATAGAATCCCCCAAAACCCACGGAAGGGGCAGCGTCCGTGTAGAAGCGGAGATCGTCGGAGGACCGGACGATATCGTCATAAAAGAACGAAATGCCGTTCCAGCGGTCCAGCAGGCGCGACCAGAAGTCCAGGTCGGAGCGGCACCCGTCGTCCAGGGTGAGCGTGTCGTGCAGGGAAGGAACCGAACCCGCGAGGGTGAGAAGACGTGAAATAAAAGAGCGGCCCTGGGGAATGATGCGGATGGCATAATTGAGGTGCCCGAGCAGAGAGAGCAGCTCGCGTTTCGTGATGGAGGGAGAGGATAGGGCAGAATGTGACACAGCGCGCACGCGCAGGAGCTTCTCCAGCGGGAGGGAGGCCTCCATGGCGCGTGTGTCGAGGCGGATGCCGAGGAACTCCAGGGCGGTGGCAGGGCCCACGGTCTTCTCCTCGGACAGGGGGACCCCGAAGGCCGAGAAGGCCGAGAAGGCCGACTTCAGCCTACGGAGCGAGTCCCCGGAGCCGTCCGCGGGGGGGTCGACGAGGAGAAAGTCATCTAGGAGATGGAGGACAGAAGGGAGACGGAGGTCGTTCAACAAAATCCAGCACAAGGCCTCAGAAAGGTTATTAAATAAGGAAGGACTGCTCCTGCAGCCAAACGTGAGGCGCGCAGCAAAATAAAAGCCGGAACGCCACTTTACTCCGAACAGGTGCCAGTGGTCGGGGTGAATGGGCAGCAGCTTGAAGGCGTCCGTAATGTCCGCTTTAGACAGCCAGGCCCCAGGGCCGAAGGCCTTCACCAGCCGGATTGCGTGATCCACGGTGGCGTACTGTAAAGAGAAGGGCTCAAGAGGGATGAGACTGTTAATGCTCGGAACGGGCCCGGAGCGGGGGTGGGACAAATCAAATATAAGGCGCTTCTTCCCGGAATACTTGCGTGTGGCAACCCCCAGCGGGCTGGAGCGAAACGGGAAAAAGGGGGGCCTGGAAAAGGGGCCGATGATGTAGCCCTTGTGCACCTCCCGCGCGAGGAGCTGCGTGACCACGAGAGGCTCGCGGAGAGCGGATTGTAGGTTACGGGACACGTAGGACGCCGAGGGGAGAGCCGCCACTCCGACATGGAAGCCCCGGGCCAGGCCTGTGAGGAGAAAGTCAACGAAGGCCCTGTCAGGATGGGGCGCGAGCGCGCGGGCCAGCGCGGGCACGGAGACTGGGGTTGAGAGGTGGGTGGAGATCAAGGCCTGTACGAAGGCCCCCCGGAACTGCGGCCCGGGCGGGGGCGACGGGGGCACACGAAACGTGGATGGGCTTCCCTGCACACACTGCAAACGTGGAGATAATTGCACGATGGAAAAGTACACGTGCCCGCGTTGAACACACGGCACACACTGGTCTGATCATGTACCTCCGTTTTGGGGAATGAAGGCGCGCGGGGCCTAGGAGACTGACCAGCGGCGACGTCGAACAGGACGGAAGGGCAGAGGGGAGAGCTGTGGCCGGTCGCGCCGCACCGGGAGCAGGAGACCGCGGGGGCACTTCCAACGGACAACAGCAAAACCTCCGTATCCAGGACCGCCAAGTCCACTCTGACGTTAGCCTGGGATACGAGGGCCGCGGCCTTGGCGGCGAAGGCCCGATGGTATCGATAGAAATGAGAACCGCCGTAGCGGAGGGCCAGGTCCCCCATTAGGCCTAGATAGGCATCCAGTTCGGCCCTGCGCTCGGGGTACACGGAGCACAGGACGTCCCGGTACACGCCGAACGCCACGAGAAACTCCCCGATGGATAGATCCCGCGAGAGGCGGGGATCAGCAGTCTTCACGACCGCAGTGACCAGGGAGGAGGCCGCCACCTGCCTGTCACACTCGGGGGAGGGGAGGATGAGGGAGACGAGATTAATGTAGCGTCCCAGCAGTATTTTCGACCGCAGCCGCGGGGAAACATTTGAGTATGCGTTGATGAAGGGCCTACCGGACGCTGTAGCCGCCACGGCCGTGGAGAGGGTGAAATCGACGACCAGGGAGTCGCCGGGAGGCGCAGCGGCGGGAACGGCCACCGGAGCCACGGTGGGGGTGGGAGGTCGGGTTTCCACGACGCGGAGCCGGCCGGACACTGCGGCCACCGAGCTCTGGATAGATGCCACCGCCGATAGGATGGCGTCCGTGCGCGCGCACATCAATTCCCGGTCCTGAGCCGCAGCTGCCACATGGGCCGCGAAGGCTGCAGCGAGAGGATCCGGCAGGGGAGGGGGCACGCCGGGAACCGCGGGGGCGGCCCGGGAGACGTCGATGGGACGAGGCGCTGGGGGAAGCAGGGGCCCGTCGAGAGCAGGGGAAGGGGGGCAGGCACGCGTCGGCGGCAGGTGGTTGGCCTTACGACGGCGCTTGCGAGGAGGGGAGTCCGGAGCTGGGGGAGGGGAGTCCGGAGCTGGGGGGGGGGAGGCGGAATCCGCTGACAGCTGCTCCACGAGGCGCTGGAGCTGCAGCGGGGTAGCATCCGGACCTGGCACGACGCCACGGGCCGTGAGGAAGGTGCGGACGGATCCAGCGTCCTGGGACGCCAGGCGCGCGCTCTTCCGGGACCGGTCGGGCACAGGCGAGGGGGGAACGAACAGGTCGTTCCGAGAGCCAGGCGAAGAGCCCGAAGCAGACGGGGACGCACGAGCACGGGGTGAAGGACGCATGGTAGACAGGTATAGTACGCTGACAACACTTGCAACTTCAGAAGCTTTGCTGGCTTCGGAAGGCCGGAAAGTGGGCGTCTCCGGCTTTTAACTTGCTGTCCTGGTGGTTATTGGTGGATTGGATGTGGGCGTTTTGCTGGTGTAATGAGTTGAGGATGAGCAGGCTTGTAGATCTGGCAGCAGCGGCCGGGTCTACCACAGTGAACTTCCGCGAAGAGCTTCATTTCATAATTACCTTTTTGTGGTCAAAAGGCGGCACTATCTGTTCTCTGTGTGTGTGGAAGTCACCAGGATTACATGACTGGAGCGGATCCTATAATACGCCTTAAACAAAGTCCTATGGAAAAGTCCTCTACTGTCCAAGGACTTGCACGTCAGCAGATCCCAGACACAGACGCTGTATGAATAATGCATGTGGCGGTGGCGTTATGAGACTTGAGGGACTTCCACGGTTCCAAGTAAATCCTTCAGGTGTCATAATGTTATGTGTTTATGCGTGGAGGAGCCTACTTTAGGCCCGTGATTATGTGGTAATGTAAAATAGAAAATGAAATAATTTCCATATCTACTGGATGAGTTATGGAATGGAAATTGATTATACAAGTTAAAAGGTGTCTACCATCGCGTTCTGGTGTTGGTCTGCGTCGTTCCAAACACGGTATGACATGTGTACACGGTTGCTTTCGCCAAATTAAAGCTGGTATACCTAACTTTATTCCTCCTAAATATTACAGTGTGGTTTTGCAAAAGGTTATAAATATATCGGACCATAGTTGTTTTTATCTTATGAGAAAACATGGTGTCTTTTGCATACCTGTCAGAAAGAGCCCTGTGAGTCGCTATTTGAGTCTTTAGGCTGAGAGCTGATTGGCTAAGTCGGAGTAGTCCTTTCTTTTTCAGTTTTCTGTCTGAAAAATAGGCCAAAAATGCCTTCAGGTGAAATTAGTGATTGTTTTGCATTGCAGGTTATCAATAAGTGTCCAGAGGTATGATTTAGCTCCAATGTGTTTAGGAAAGGGCAAGGCGAGTTTATTTGTATAGCACAATTCATACACAAGGCAACTCAAAGTGCTGAACAAAATAAGATAAGGATAGATTTATAGTTTACACCTAGTTTTAAACCTGATCAAGGTTTGAGATCTTTTTTACTGTTGAATGCGCTGGAAACAGCAGCAAGCCCTAAGTAGCTCCAAAACAGATCTTGTTTTGTATTTTACAATTGTTGTTTTTCTTGCTTTTTTCTACTTGATATGTTGCTGCAGTACACTGTTCATGGTTTTTGCACTGGTTCAGACCGGAGCGAAGAGGATTCATGGTCCGAACCCATTGGATCAGGCAAAAATCCACTGGAGAAAGGCTAACTTTTTGAAAAATGCTAATGAAGCATTTAGCATTTTACTTTGGACCAGAGCAGAGACAATAACCAAGCAGCTTCTCCACCTCTGCTGCTGTGGCCTGAAGTGCTGTTCCATTTTATTATTACTGTTGTTAACTTTTTAGAATAATCAATTTATAAGTTTTATTTTTCTATCTCTCTATCTATCTAGTGAGTATAGAGTAATTTATTTTCCCATTGTTTTTTTCCACTCACCTCAAAATATTAGAAAAGAAAACACACTTCTATTTTGGCATACTGTTACTCTACTCTCTCCCTCTTTTCATTTGCAACACATCACCCATGTCAGAACCACTTATGCCCTTGCATCAACTCGCCCTTTTACCGCAGCCCCCTGAGGTGACGAGAAACTGACTGCACTCCATTAGACCCGTTCATTAAAGAAGGCTCACAAGTAATGACTTTCTGCACCACGTGACCCGCAGATTGATTAGGATATTGATAATTGCGTTAGTTTTTATGATGGATATGTAAAAAGGAAAGGAGAATGGGGGTTGGCGCGTTTAGTAATGTCATATTAATAATGTTTTATTCCATTACTGGAGACAAAGAGAGCGAGACTGGGCTCCACAGTGTGTGTTTTAGCAAGAGGATTAACAGCTGCATGAATAATATCATCGAGGCGGCAAATACGACGACAGAATCAGGGAGAGAAGAAGAGGAAAGATGGCAGCAGCAGACTCAGACCTAAACTTAATGCTGACAATACTGGTTATTTTCAGTACAATTAAAATGCCATCTTCGGTAATTGAGCACCGACAAGACACAGGACTGCAAAATATTATAACATTTGAGGTAATAAATGCTTGAATTGAACCAAGCCGTTTAGTCTTATATCAAGAACTTGGGCGGCTGAGTGGTTAGCACTCTCGCCTCTCAGCAAGAAGGTTCTGGGTTTGAATCCCAGTCAGAAAAGGGTTAGAGTGGAGTTTGCATGTTCCCCCAGCGTCTGCGTGGGTTTCCTTCGGGTGCTCGGGTTTCCCCTACTACTAAAAAAGTGCAATATTTCAAGGTGAATGAGTGTGTGTTTGTATGGTAACTTGCCCATGGCTACAATCTGGAGGGATGTGTTCTTTAACGTGTACTGTCCCAACCAAATAAAAGGGTTAGGGTTAAGGTTAGGGGTTAAATACAATACATAAACTGTTGCTTTATTTACTCATTTCTTGCATTTTAAAACAAGATCATTTTGCTCTATCTGGTTTTAAGGCAGTCAAAAGGGGTGGGAATTTGTAAGTTTTTTCTTCCTCCCTCTCCTTTTCGAGTTTGAATAATGCACAATATTGTAATAAGTAATTGTTAATGAATGATTTGTTAGAAAATTCTATATAGAGCACGCTGCATGTCTTAATATGATATGTGTATATGACTTTTCATCGAATCGAATTTCTCCATTGTGAGATCAATGAAGTATATTTTCTTCTTCTTCTTGATCATGTTTGATAGTGTTAGATGTACATTGGACCCGAAACAAATAAACACTCAACTCAACCCATTTGTAAAATGGTACAACCCTTGAAGATTCTGCCCAAATGCAACGCCTGTTCCGTGTCCACATGATTGAGGTAACCGTGTTGAGTGTAGCCTTTAGTGCACTATGTCTGAAATGTTCTTTCACAGTAGGGTCTAACAGTCTAACACAAGGCCATTCAACACTCATTTCTCCAGGGCTGGAATTTTTTGTTCAAAGAGCCACGGTCCCTGAGCCGGGTAAATGCACATCCTGACTCCACTTTTAACACAATCAACAATCGGAGGCCATGGAACACACGTAAAATAGACCTGGTATATAACAGCTTTGTTTTATACATTATCAGTCAAACATCAGGAAAAATATAAGATTCGTCCCACAGTAGCCTGTCCTTATCCCACCATACTCTCCGTTCAATCATCATTTCCTGCATGTAACATCTGGGTCTGGTCCGTGTGTTTGCGATTACAATCGGTTGAATTCCATCCGACCAATCAGAGAGTGCGGGAGGCGGGTGTAGTTAGTTGTGGGTGACGTCAAGAGTTTGCGTCGAACGGGCAGGTCTAGTTTGGCGACGGCGAAGAATGCAATAGTAAAGTAATCCGGTCTGGTTCTATCGAGAAACTGAAGGCGGAGCAAGAGGAATGTTCAGCAAATGTAATCGCTGCAAAAGGCTGTGGCGCTACTCCCCACGGGCTCCGTTAGCGGCTAAGGAGATGGCTAGGCTAAATGCTAAATGCTAACAAGTCACTCGGGCACATTACATACGTGATGGTAAATTCAGATGGTTTCAATCTGCAAAAGGAGGTAACCCCTCCCACCTGTTAACGGAGTCAGTGGAGCACCTCCAGACCTTAGTACAAAATGTAATTTGTACTATGGTGTGGTACGACCATAATCGCACACATTACAACAGAATAAAAAGGGAAAAATTAACACTCAGGTTGCACACATCAAACCGGATCAATCATTTAAGATTATAAGATAATAAAATTTATTTATTTAGACATTTATTTAAAGAGGAATAACCCCATGAGATGCATCATCTCGTTTTCGTGGGGGTCCTCTTTATACAGGTTACAGCGTAGTCATTTGATGCACAACAACATCCAAAGAAACAAAATGACAAAAATAAAATAAAACGGAATACAAACACAAATGCACACCCATACACACACACACACACACACATCACACCGCTCTCATGTACCCCCCTCCACTAACAATACATTACAGATACCATTGCAATCTTTTGAAAGCGTGTTCAAGAAGTACATTTACAAACATACATTTAGAATTAAATCACACGTGAGTAAAAGGTAAACATTTCTCCTGCACACAAACCAATAATGAAACCATTATATTCAGGCAAATATAGAAAAGCATTAGATAAGTTGAAAACTATCCAACGAGAAAAAATAAAAAATAAATAATAATAATTAAAAAAAAAAAATAATAATAATAATAAATAAGAAAAGCCACAAAGATTTTACCGAAGCCCTTCGATTGAAGTTGTCCCACTCATTACAAACTGTAGCTACAAACACAAACAAATATTTTGCAAGTGTGCAAAAGTGGCTCTTCTGAAGGTAAATAATGAAGTTATAGAGCAAATAGAAGCCGGAAGTCGGTTCCAGTCTCGAGGCGCTTTAATAAAGAAAGCGTGTTTCCCTACGTCTCTGATGGCTCTGGGAACAGTAAAGAAAAGGGTGTCATTGTGACGGAGACTATAAGATGAACTGAAAGGAACTAAGTATTGCTTTAGGTAAGATGGGAAATTAAAGTGGATGCATTTGAAAATGAATTGAAGCCAATGGTGTTGACGTCTGCCTGTAAGAGAGAGCCAAGACAGTTGTTCATACATGAGGCAGTGATGTGTCCTGTAGGGGCAGCGAAGAATGAATCTGCAGAGACTGTTATAGACAACATTTAGAGAGTGTAGACCGGTGGCGGAAGTGTTCTGATATACGAGGTCAGCATAATCCAAAATCGGTAGGAGCAATTGAGTAACTATTTTTTTCCTAATCAGAAAATTAAAACAGTTAATGGATTGATAGAGTTTTCAGCTGAAAATTCAGTTTGTTAGTTAAGTGTTGAATATGAGTCTTGAAGGAAAGATCAGCATCCAGCCAAACACCTAAGTATTTAAAAGTTGAAACTGATTCCAGAGAATGTGAATCTAAAAAACACAAATTTAAGTTACCAGCTGCACACATACTTTTTCTCTGGAACAGCATTTGAAAAGGATTTGGATTTATTTAGGAGCAGTTTATTGCATGATAGCCAGTGCTGGACATTATTGAAGTCATGTTGAAGAGAGTTGTTAATGTCTGTAATGTTGGGTTTGGAACAGTAAAGAATCGTGTCATCTGCATAAAGGTGAATCTCGCAGTCTGAACAACAGAGTGGCAGGTCATTAATAAAGATGGAAAATAATAAAGGTCCAAGAGAGGACCCTTGTGGAATGCCTTTGCTAATGGTTTTAAAATCAGACTGACTGCCTCTAAAGGACACACACTGCCGGCGGTGATGAAGAAACGAACTGAACCATAGAAGAGAAGATCGGGAGAGGCCAATTGAATTTAATTTGTCCAGAAGCAAGTAGTGATCAACTAAGTCGAAGGCTTTAGTGAGATCTAAAAATATAGCACCAGTACATTTGTTATTATCAAAACCAGAAAAAATATCGTTCGTAAATTTCAAAAGGGCAGAGGTGGTTGAGAAGTATTTCCTGAAACCTGATTGGCATTGAGAGAGTAAATTATAACTGGAAAGGAAATCAGATAATTGAATGAATATGATTTTCTCAAATGCTTTTACAACACTATTGATTATGGATATGGGTCTATAATTATTCAAAATTTGACTGTCCCCTCCTTTATGCAAAGGAATGACTTTAGTACATTTCCATGCTAGAGGTACTTCACAGGTGCTAAATGACATATTAAAAAGCTTTGCCAATGGCGAAGAAAGAACATGTGAAGCTAGTTTCAAAAACCTTCCCTCAATGCCATCAGGACCAGGACCACTGCTTGAGGACAGATTGTTTATGGCCTGCAAGACATCAGTCGAGCTAACATTTGAAAAAGTGAAAGAGCTAGAACAGGGCTGAGAGTTTGCAGTCGGATCTAGATGGATAAGTGGAGGCGGTACCTGTGGTGACTGGGAGAAATGTAAACTAAAAGCATTAGCAATCACATGTGGATTACTAGTAATTTCATTATTGATTGTCATATTGCTTGTTGCATTGTCAGATTTACCAATTAAAGTGTTTATTTTCCTCCAGAATTGTTTAGGGTTATTGATATTGTTTGACAAGCTACTTCTGTAATAATTGGCTTTAGCATTTCTCGTTTGAGTTGTGCATATATTTCTTAGCCGTTTATATTCCTCCCAGTCACTAGGACAAGATGAAAATCTGTACTTGCTCCAGGCCCTATCTCTTTTTTTAAACTGGTTTATAAGATCACCATTTACCCAGGGCAAATGATTACCTTTAACCTTGATTTTGATCCATGGTGCATGTTTGTTAATAGCTTCCATAAGTTCGGAATGAAAGAGGTCCCATGCATTATCAACATCTGGAATTAGTTCCAGCCTGGACCAATTGACCATTTGTAAGTCGTTTATAAATGCAATAATATTAAAAGATTTCATATCACGTACCCAGATAAATTTAGGAGGAAGACGGGGAGTAGAAATTTTCCAAACACAATAAATCATAGAATGGTCACTAAAACAATCTGAGAGAACGCCAGATTGAATTATCCGATTGGGGTGCGTCACTAAAATCCAATCAAGAAGAGAATTAGAATTTGGACCTGTTCTTGTTGGATCTTTAATCATTTGAGTTAGATTAGAGCTCTTAAAAAGGTTTTGTTCAGTGAGTGTCGATGAGTCAGACCAATTTAGGTTGAAATCCCCCATTAGAATAATTTCCTTTGGGTCACCAAGAGATGAAACAGTGGCTATAATGTTCTTAACAGACTCTAATTTGGGAGAGGACGGAGGTCGATAAATATTGCCAATAATCAAATGCTTATTTTCATGAAGAAAGATTTTAATAAAGATACCTTCAAAAAGTTCAGGTTTCACGTCAGGAATTATTAAATGTGATTTCAGATTAGAAGAAATGTAGGTGGCAACCCCACCTCCCCTTGAACCTCTGTCAGCTCGATAAACAGTATAGCTCTCGAGTTTAATACTTGAGTCTGTAATGTTGTCAGTAAGCCAAGTTTCAGAGAAGGTTAAAATGCTGGGATTATTGTAAACAAGCCATGCTCTGAGTTGATCAATTTTAGGTTGAAGGCTACGAATATTTAGGTGAATAGCATGAAGACCTTTACCCATTGTTTACAAATCTATCTTCATTGTTCAGGTAGAATACACTGAGCATGTCAGGTTTGTGAAGGTGAGAGAGAGAGGAGAGAGACGAACATGAGAGCAGCCAAAATTCAATCAAACAATCAAGCATACATGCACACAGACACACACATATAAAATAAAAATAATAAGAGAAAAAAACAATGTTGTACATTCAGATAGAGTACCCGCAAACTGCCTTTAAGCCCTTCCCTGAGCATATACAACAACTGAGTATGTGCAGATTCTTAGTGCAACACTTTATTCTTATAACAAAAAAGAAATAAGGGAGAACCTTAACGGTTTAAAAGTACTATCACTCAGAGTTGGAAAACATAACAAAAAAAGAAAGAAAAACAGCAACCTTCTTGGTCATATAATTAAGAATCCAAGAGCCAAAAAATAGAAACAAAAAGAAAATACCTTGTCAGCATAACCTCCGTAAACTGATGTCAGACGTAACGAGGCGGGGCAAGACGCACTTGCGGAAGTAAACAACAGCACGTGAACTCATACCACTGGACCAGGCCGAAGCTAAGAGTCAACAATGGTCCCGTGCGGATCAATGGAGTCAATGAACTTGGATGCCTTCTCTGGATCATCAAACAAGAGCTGCTCGGAACCCCGGGTCAGCTTGATGACAGCGGGATATAACAAAAAAGCTTCGTATCCCAAGCTACGAGCCCGGTTCATTAGCGGAAAGCAAGGACGCCTGAGGCGAGCGGTGGCGTCGCTATAATCAGCAGCGAAGCGGATTGTCAGGCCATCCACTACTACCTCTGTAAACTCTGTAAAACTCTAAATAATGTCTTCTGCATTTGACCCATAATGATGCCACTATAGGCGTCTGTCGAGAGCAGTGGTCGCCGTAGTACTGCGACCGGGAAAGGATTTACCTATTGTACATGTTTTCAGTGGTATAGAAAACCGAAGCACCGGGAGGAAACCCAAGCAGACACGGTGAAAGCATGCAAACTCGACTGGGATTCGAACCTAGGACCTTCTTGCTGAGAAGCGGGAGCGGGATTATTGCATTTGGTTCAAGGATTGGCATTTACAGATGTTTTTTTGTTACCGTACTTTAGGGACAGAGAATATCACCAGAATAATATCTGTAAAGAAAATACTAATTTTCTGACATGAGAGGAACAGTTTGCATTAGCAGCAGCTTTAACAGAATAGTGGAACCCTCACATGTCGCCACAGACTAAAAAGTGTTACAGCTGCTCCGTCGTTCCCAGTCTCTCACCAATCTCCTGGAAAGCAGGGAGTCCAGTCAGTTCATAAGAAAAGAATATAAACTGTAATACTGTGGTGACGATCCGGGACACTCAACACTCAACAAGAATATTAAGAGATCCTTTGTTCGTCCCATAGTGGGGAAATTTCAGTGTTGCATCACTAGTGACAGAACAGTAGGTGTAGGATAGATACCTCAGGGGTGGACTGTAAGGACTGTATAGAAGGTGCTGGTTTGGTATTGAAGCAGTTACTGTCCTGGAGGGTCGGCCAGAACACTACTTGAGCCAAAATGATATGCAGAGGGGAGACATTGACGAGACGGGTTCATACTTTGCCTTTGTATTGAACATTGGTTCTGAGTACAGGTTTGGGTGTGGGCCTGTCCGTGTGAGTGTGTGTGTGGTATCTGCAAATAAACAGAAAAAGACTAAATTACAAAGTGTTCATCTCCATACAAACACAATATAACAGGGTTATAAAGAACATAAAAATACAAAAATAATAGGCACTTTATCAACAGTGCCAACAGCCTGGCCCATAAACATTCCAAATTGCACAAAACAGCTAGCTTAGCTCCCTGCAGCTACACAGGCAACGTGGCTACATATATATATTAAAGGCTCTTGAATTAACTACACTTAAACACAGGTTTACAACCATCAGAAGTTCTTAGGTACTTACTTTAGTCATGAACGCACACTTTGGACCACAACAACAGACTGCATCTGACGCTTATATTTGTAGCAAGAAAAGGATGTTTTTACTCTCGTCACGTCTGACTCAGGTAAAAGGTAGAGGCGCCCTCTAATGGACACTCACGGAACAACAGGTAAACAAACAGTAGTAATATACATGCAATGAAACAGAGGGGCCTTTTGTACAGTAGGAATGAGCATACAGTACAAGATAAATAATAAGATAAATGAACACAGCTCTGTACTAAATAAAGTAACAAAAAAACTAGCTTTAGCATAACAAGGAAGCAGTCTATGATCTGTATTAAGAAAAAATTATGTACAAAATCTTTGACTTTAGCAGCATAAAGATGCAAGTATAAATCCTGTATATTCTAGTTTAGAAATCTACAGTTGTAAATAATACATCTGTAACTTTAGCCACATGAGAATATAAGATGTACTTTATACTTAAGTTGCCAAATGTAAAACTTTTATACTTTATTATCATTATTTACAAGATAGAGATTTTATACTTGTTGTTAGAGATTTTGTTTTATTTTAATTAGTATAGTTGTTGTTCACTATAACTTGTGATGCAACACTGAAATTTCCCCACTGTGGGACGAATAAAGAATCTACACTTAATCTAAATCTAATTTTGCAATAAAAACGCAAACCTTAAAACAGACTTGTATATTTTAATGTGTTACTTTTATCAGTGCAGCACTTTGGAAACGTGTTTTATAAAATGTGCTATATAAATACAGTTGATTTGGAAAACGGCTTATTTATAATTATTTTTCTTGCTTCTTCTTTCGGCTGGCTCACTCTGTCCCACTGCCACCCCCTCTGTTCCCTGAATACCCAGCAGTACATTAGCAGAGAGCTACTATTACCCCGCCCCAGCTCTGGAGAGGCACTTCAGAAATCTGAGTGTTCCTGCAAAGCCCCCACAGGTTTGGAACATCACCGCGGACTCCCGGAGAGCAGCAAGGTCGCGTGAAAAGCAGAGGACACCACACCCTTGCTGCCCTGTGCCAATTTTTACCCATCACGTACTACAAAGACAGAGCGGTCATTAGCGATGGAAGTGTCCAATCCCCTTCGGTTTGGAAATTCCAATAGGACAAACGCCAGATCATTGGTGGCGTGCACAGAGGCGAGAGTGGCATCGATCTGCTCCGTCTGCCGCCAATCCACGATGAGAGACACGCCGGCCGCTCGGGAGACTGTCCTGGGATTGAAGCATGTCTTCTGCCTCCTCTCAGGACGCTCACGTGGTTTGGCCCCGTTTCCACCAGCTCTGCTCTGCTGTACTCTGCTGTACTCTGCTGTACTCTACTCTACTGCAATCTACTTTATGGTACTTTACTCGGCTCTACTCTACTCTATGGTACTCTACGCGGCACTACTCCACTCTGCTCTACTGTACTTGGCTCAGCTCTGATGTACGCAACAAGATGTTGAGTACAAGAGGGGGAAAACAAGATGGCGCCGCCCAGGGCTGCTATGGTGACTACGTGTGTAGCGTTCTGTTTGTTATTTGTGTCATACGTATCGTGTGAGCCTTCCTACACAAGAGAAGAGCTGCTGCACATTGGGTGTTCTACCCCACTGGACATTGTACCAACACTACTCACCCATTCCACGGATGTACTGGATGTTCTGTTGAGGGGGACAGCGCTCTTCGCCAGTGCTGTACGCTGGACCAGGAGACAATAGGGGAAGCCAGGAGGTTGTCTGGTTCGCCTACGGCTGCTTGTCTCATGGGAGAATGACTTCAAATCCACGGATGTCTTCGCGTTTGTGGAGACAAAACTGTCGCCGACAGTCCCGGACGGGGCTGTACAGCTGGAAGGTTTTTCCGCGTTTCGCTCGGACAGAGACTTTGAGGCGGCGGGAAAGTCGTGTGGAGGAGGTTTAATCTTCTTTGTGAACGACTGCTGGTGCTCTGATGTGACAGTGTTGCAAAAACACTGCTCTCCTGCAATTGAAACGCTTTTCATCCTCTGTCAGAATCAGAATCAGAATCATTTTTATTGCCACGTAAGTAACAGGAGGTCACAGACTAGGAAATTGCTTTGGCTCAGTGCAACAGTCAAAAAGAGATAATAAAAATAAGAATAAAAAACACTTCTAAAGAATAAATTTAAATTTAAAATAGAGTTACAGTTACTATTTACAATATCCAAGTGCACATGGTGCACACAATGTAAGGTGACAGCAGTACAGTGAAGTAAAGTGACGTATGATGGGCAGTAAAGTGACTTTATAAAGGGCGGGGGGACAGGTTACGAAGTGTTCAAGAGTCCAACAGCAGAGGGGAAGAAACTGTTCTTGTGGCGGGAGGTTCTAGTCCTGATGGACCGCAGCCTCCTGCCTGAGGGGAGTGGTTGGAATAGTCCATGTGCAGGTGAGAGGGGAGTGGTTGGAATAGTCCATGTGCAGGTGAGAGGGGAGTGGTTGGAATAGTCCATGTGCAGGTGAGAGGGGAGTGGTTGGAATAGTCCATGTGCAGGGTGAGAGGGGAGTGGTTGGAATAGTCCATGTGCAGGTGAGAGGGGTTGGCTGTGATACGACCAGCCCGGCCTCGAGCTCGGGCGACGTACAGGTCCTGCAGCGATGGAAGGCTGCGGCCGATCACTTCCTCTGCAGAGCGCACAATGCACTGTAGTCTCTGTTTGTCCCTGACTGTGGCTCCAGCGAACCACACGGTGACGGAGGAGGTGATGGAGGAGGTGATGGAGGAGGTGATGGAGGAGGTGAGGATGGACTCGATGATGGCCGTGTAGAACTGCAGCTTGGCTTTCCTGAGCTGCCGCAGGAAGTACATCCTCTGCTGGGCCTTCTTGATGAGGGAGCTGATGGTCGGCTCCCACTTGAGGTCCTGGGTGATGGTGGTGCCCAGGAAACGGAAGGACTCCACAGAGGTGGATGGGGGAGTCCATCACGGAGGGTGGGGGCGGGGGGACAGTGCTCTTCCTGAAGTCCACAATCATCTCCACTGTCTTCTGGGCGTTCAGCTCCAGGTTGTTACCACTGCACCAGGACACCAGCCGGTCCACCTCCCTCCTGTAGGAGACACCCAGGACACCAGCCGGTCCACCTCCCTCCTGTAGGAGACACCAGGACACCAGCCGGTCCACCTCCCTCCTGTAGGAGACACCAGGACACCAGCCGGTCCACCTCCCTCCTGTAGGAGACACCAGGACACCAGCCGGTCCACCTCCCTCCTGTAGGAGACACCAGGACACCAGCCAGTCCACCTCCTCCTGTAGGAGACACCAGGACACCAGCCGGTCCACCTCCCTCCTGTAGGAGACACCAGGACACCAGCCGGTCCACCTCCCTCCTGTAGGAGACACCAGGACACCAGCCGGTCCACCTCCTCCTGTAGGAGACACCAGGACACCAGCCGGTCCACCTCCCTCCTGTAGGAGACACCAGGACACCAGCCGGTCCACCTCCCTCCTGTAGGCGGACTCATCGTTGTTGGAGATGAGTCCAATGAGGGTGGTGTCGTCCGCGAACTTGATCAGCTTCACGGAGTCGTGGCTGGAGGTGCAGTGGTTGGTGTACAGGGAGAAGAGCAGGGGAGAAAGAACACAGCCCTGTGGGGCTCCTGTATTTATAATCCGAGAGTCCGAGACATTCTTCCCCAGACGCACTCGCTGCTTCCTGTCCGTCAGGAAGTCAGTGATCCACCTGCAGGTGGAATCGGGCACGTTGAGCTGGGAGAGCTTGTCCTGGAGCAGGGATGGCAGGATTGTGTTGAAGGCAGAGCTGAAGTCCACGAACAGGACCCTGGCGTAGGTCCCCGGGGAGTCCAGGTGCTGTAGGATGTGGTGGAGGGCCAGGTTAATGGCGTCGTCTACAGATCTGTTGGCTCTGTAGGCGAACTGCAGGGGGTCCAGGAGGGGGGAGGTGAAGGACTTGAGATGGGAGAGGACCAGGCGTTCAAATGACTTCATGACGACAGACGTAAGTGCTACAGGTCTGTAGTCATTGAGTCCTGTGATCCTGGGCTTCTTCGGGACGGGGACAATGATGGAGGATTTGAAGCAGGCCGGGACATGGCAGGACTGCAGAGAGGTGTTGAAAATGTCAGTGAACACAGGAGTAAGCTCACTGGCGCAGTGTCTCAGAGTGGCCGGAGACACGTGGTCCGGGCCAGGAGCTTTGCGGGGGTGCAGCCTCAAGAAGAGTTGTTTAATCTCTTTAGAGGCTATTGTTAGGCTGGGGGCAGGGCTGATGGGTGGGTCGTTAGAGTAGTGGGGGGTGGGGGAGGGAGAGGTGTCAGGGGCAGCATCAAAGCGACTGAAAAATAAGTTCAGTTCGTCAGCTAGCTTGTGGTTGTCAGCACAGGGGGGGGCTTTGGGTTTGTAGTTGGTGATCTCCCGTAGGCCCCTCCAGACAGAAGCAGTATCGTTGTTACCAAACTGCTCCTGTAGTCGTTCTCTGTGCTGGGACTTGGCTGCTTTCAGTTCTTTCCTGAACTGATATTTAGCTGCTTTGTAGCCGCTGCGGTCCCCCTCCCTGAAAGCAGACTCCTTTGCTTTCCTGAGCTGCCGGAGTTTAGCAGTGAACCAGGGTTTGTCGTTGTTATAGATGACCCTGGTCCTTGTTGGAATGATGCTATCCTCACAGAAGTGAATGTATGACGTCACAGTGTCCGTGTATTCATCCAAACTATCTGTGGCAGCTCTGAAAAGGTCCCAGTCTGTAGATTCCATGCATGCAGCTCTTCCACAGCTTCATCAGACCACACTTTGGAGCTCCTCACTGCAGGTTTCGAGAGCTTTAGTCTCTGTCTGTAAGCAGGAACCAGATGTATCATGGAGTGATCTGAGAAGCCGAGGGCTGCCTTGGGAACAGCGCGAAAAGCTCCGCGCACGGTGGTGTAGCAGTGATCCAGAGTGTTCTCCTCTCTGGTCGGGCATTTGATAAACTGTCTGTATTTGGGTAATTCCTGGCTCAAGTTTCCCTTATTAACTCATTCACTGCCCATGACGACAAAACTCGTCATGTTGAATAGTAACGCTCACTGCCCATGACGAGTTTGACGAGTTTTTCGTGTTATTACACGGGAGGCTACAGTAATGTCTGGCGCACCTTGTGAATGACCCACAATACTGATATATAGTGCAAATGTACCTGTAATGATAAATCCACACCAGTAGGATGCAGTATTGCACCACAGGAGAGGTCATAAGTCAGTGGAGAGAAGGAGGAGGAGTGTGGGAGTGTTTGGAGAGCGTGCTGCTGTAGCAGAGCGATGATAGCGTAGCATTGAGACAGATCAGCGATCTAGTTTAGCGATAGTATAGCAAGAGTGATGGCGAAAAAGAATAGTTATAAGCAGTGTACACTGCTTCAGAGATTGACTCGCGGATCAGTGAGTGAGGTCGAGAGGGGAGAGAGTGGAGACCCCGGTGGAGGTCCGTCTCTGCAGCCCAGAGCCCGGAGCAGGGACACACCTTCCGCCTCTCGCAGCGTATCAGCTGCTGTTGTTACTGATGCCTCGGATTCGTTCAGCAAACCTGATCATGATTTATCGGATGAGTGGTTGCAGTCTCAATCCAGCAGAGCATCCTCTCCAGAAGCTCCACAAAGAGTCGAAGGTAAGAACTTGCTAAATTGCCAAGAATATGCTAACTTGAGAGGAGGGAAAGGCGCGGAAACTTGCTCTGATCTGCTAAGTAACACAGCGCTCAAATCCTACTGTTTCTTTAGTAAATGCCAGTTATGCGTTTTATCATTGTTGTATTTATTATTTTTATGTTTAGTTATTTCATACTTGAACATCTTGTTGTAGTGTCATAGCTCTGACTAAATGAAATGTGTTCATTCACAGATTCTGATAAAAGAGCCCTCCCCCTGTCCCCCATTGGAGTTGACAGAGCAAGGAGGTAAAGATGATTCCTCCTCATACCATTGTACATATTATTGTATATATTCTCCTGGTATAGTGATTTACAAATGTATATTATTTACAGGTGGTGCATCAAGAGGCAGTTGCTGTGCACAAAAAAGGTAAAAGAACTACTATTTCTATTCTTGTACATCCCATGGCAATATAATATAATAATAATAATATAGTATACTGTGTTTGGTCCAAAAGTAGTCAGTCAATAATGTGGGAGGAAGGCCTTCATTGTATTTTATGTATTGATTTATTGTAACAAATTCACTGTATAATATATTTATTGTGTGTATCAAATTTCCAGCACGTTCGTCACCCAGAAGCTCTGGGGAAGATGGCTGACAGGAGGATGAGTGGGAGCCGAGTCAGTCCCTTCACAGGAGCTCCTGGACCTCAGAGACTGCGGACAGAGGCTGCAAAGCTGGATTCATCTGATCCAGACTTTCTGGAGCTGGATTCATCTGATCCAGACTTTCTGGAGCTGGATTCATCTGATCCAGACTTTCTGGAGCTGGATTCATCTGATCCAGACTTTCTGGAGCTCTTCTTCACGGAGGGAGAACTACAAATGGTACACAGCGTGTCGTGTTCCGTTGCACACAGTGTTTCAACCTCTACAACTCAAAGCTGAACTACTGGGAGGACTGAAAAAGCAGATAAACTCACTCATACACACACTCACAAACACTCAAACGCACTCACTCACTCACTCACGCACACAGACACTCACTTGCACACTGACATTCACATGCTTCATTCTATTTTATACATCTATAGTTTTATTGATCTTTGTGTTGTTGTTGTTTGACGTTTTGGTCGATGGTATAGAAGAAAGTTAAATTTTCTATCTGTGAATAAATTGCCAACAATTTGCCATCAAAAGTATTATTTCAGAGTCATGTTTTTATAATTTTTGTAATGGAACAAGTCTGAAGATGTTTTGAGTTGTCACTAAAGCAGCAAAAATGCATCTAAAAGTCTCTTTTCTGCTTGATATGTTCCCGTTTACATACAGCTCGTTTTCTCTGTTTTCTTGCTCAGACCAGGTGTTATGGGTGAAAGTATGCTTTGTTCTATGGCGAATAACTCAAGAACGGTAAGAGGTAGAAACAAACTGTTTTTTTCAGAGTAAAGCAGAGAGGTTAATCTCTAATTTGGTGCCCTTGGTGTTTACATCGTCTAAAAAATGAATATTCTGTGGCACTTCAAAGTTGGGTCAAATCACCTGAAATTGCTGGCAGAACGCACTTCTCAAATCTGAAAATGCCTGGCAGTCAGTGAGTTAAAATCCCCCAGGATAATAATCAGAGAGTCCGGGTATAAGCGTTCCATACACAGTACTTGCTCTGCGAGTGCGCGCGTCCGCGCATGGTGGTATGTAAACAGAGGCAAGAATGAATTAAACAAACTCATGCGGAGAGTAAAATGGTTTACAATGAATGAAAAGATATTCCAGAGCAGGAGAGCAGTGCTTGGAGATCACTGTCACATCGTTACACCAGTTTGTATTGACGTAGAAACACAGCCCACCGCCTCTGCTCTTCCCTGAGAGCGCACAATGGCGATCCGTGTGGAACAGCCCAAAGCCCTGCAGCTCCAGAGCACAGTCCGGGATCCGCTCATTTAGCCAGGTCTCAGTGAAGCAGAGGACACAGAGGACACCAGGTCTCAGTGAAGCAGAGGACACAGAGGACACCAGGTCTCAGTGAAGCAGAGGACACAGGATGAAGTCCTTGTTTCTTCTCATGAGCAGGCTGAGTTCGTCCATCTTATTGCCCAGTGAGCGTACGTTGGACAGAAAAATGCCGGGGAGAGGCTCCTCTCCTCCTCAGACGCACGAGCAGGCCTCCGCGCTTTCCCCTTTTACGGGACCACACTTTTTTGGCTAGAACATGGACTAAATCAGCCGCAGATGCCAAGAAAACAGGCAATAGGTCCATGGGAACGGTGGGTCGGATGTTCATAAGTTCCTCACGGGTGTAGGAACAGCCAGATGCACAGTTAAAAAGTAAAAACAAAAGAAAAAGAGAGCAGCAAAGAGCCGTGGCAACCGTACGAGGCGCCATCTTTGTTGGTTATGCGCCATCTTTGTTGGTTGGTCGTCCATTCTATTCCCCCTGTGAGTTTAATGCGTTCCTCCTCGAGTGTGTTTACATTCCTCCGGATGTTGGCGTCACCGCAGCAGTGGACACACTCGCAGAACAGCTGTCGGGGGCGGAGCGCAAACACCCGGACAGTTTTGTTGTGGTGCTCGGGGACTTTAACCAGAATCAGAATCAGAATCATTTTTATTGCCACGTAAGTAACAGGAGGTCACAGACTTGGAAATTGCTTTGGCTCAGTGCAACAGTCAGAAAGAGATAATAAAAATAGGAATAAAAAACACTTCTAAAGAATAAATTTAAATTTAAAATAGAGTTACAGTTACTATTTACAATATCCAAGTGCACATGGTGAACACAATGTAAGGTGACAGCAGTACAGTGAAGTAAAGTGACTTTATAAAGGGCGGGGGGACAAGGCAAGGCAAGGCAAGGCAAGTTTATTTATATAGCACAATTCATACACAAGGAAATTCAAAGTGCTGAACAAAACAAGAAAGCATTAAAATCATAAATTATCACAGAACATTAAAAAGAAAGATAAAAATATAAAATCCCTCAGTTGTATGCACAGTTAATGGGACAGGTTAAGAAGTGTTCAAGAGTCCAACAGCAGAGGGGAAGAAACTGTTCTTGTGGCGGGAGGTTCTAGTCCTGATGGACCGCAGCCTCCTGCCTGAGGGGAGTGGTTGGAATAGTCCATGTGCAGGTGAGAGGGGAGTGGTTGGAATAGTCCATGTGCAGGGTGAGAGGGGAGTGGTTGGAATAGTCCATGTGCAGGTGAGAGGGGAGGGGTTGGAATAGTCCATGTGCAGGGTGAGAGGGGAGTGGTTGGAATAGTCCATGTGCAGGTGAGAGGGGAGTGGTTGGAATAGTCCATGTGCAGGTGAGAGGGGAGTGGTTGGAATAGTCCATGTGCAGGTGAGAGGGGAGTGGTTGGAATAGTCCATGTGCAGGTGAGAGGGGAGAGGTTGGAATAGTCCATGTGCAGGTGAGAGGGGAGTGGTTGGAATAGTCCATGTGCAGGTGAGAGGGGAGTGGTTGGAATAGTCCATGTGCAGGTGAGAGGGGAGTGGTTGGAATAGTCCATGTGCAGGTGAGAGGGGAGTGGTTGGAATAGTCCATGTGCAGGGTGAGAGGGGTCGGCTGTGATACGACCAGCCCGGCCTCGAGCTCGGGCGACGTACAGGTCCTGCAGCGATGGAAGGCTGCGGCCGATCACTTCCTCTGCAGAGCGCACAATGCGCTGTAGTCTCTGTTTGTCCCTGACTGTGGCTCCAGCGAACCACACGGTGATGGAGGAGGTGATGGAGGAGGTTATGGAGGAGGTGATGGAGGAGGTGATGGAGGAGGTGATGGAGGAGGTGATGGAGGAGGTGATGGAGGAGGTGATGGAGGTGATGGAGGAGGTGATGGAGGAGGTGATGGAGGAGGTGATGGAGGTGATGGAGGAGGTGATGGAGGAGGTGATGGAGGAGGGGATGGAGGAGGGGATGGAGGAGGTGATGGAGGAGGTGATGGAGGAGGTGATGGAGGAGGTGATGGAGGAGGTGATGGAAGTGGTGATGGAGGAGGTGATGGAGGAGGTGATGGAGGAGGTGATGGAGGAGGTGATGGAGGAGGTGATGGAGGTGATGGAGGAGGTGATGGAGGAGGTGATGGAAGTGGTGATGGAGGAGGTGATGGAGGAGGTGATGGAGGGGGTGATGGAGGAGGTGATGGAGGAGGTGATGGAGGAGGTGATGGACTCGATGATGGCCGTGTAGAACTGCACCAACATCTGTGCAGGCAGCTTGGCTTTCCTGAGCTGCCGCAGGAAGTACATCCTCTGCTGGGCCTTCTTGATGAGGGAGCTGATGGTCGGCTCCCACTTGAGGTCCTGGGTGATGGTGGTGCCCAGGAAACGGAAGGACTCCACAGAGGTGATGGGGGAGTCCATCACGGAGGGTGGGGGCGGGGGGACAGTGCTCTTCCTGAAGTCCACAATCATCTCCACTGTCTTCTGGGCGCTCATCTGAGTCGGGCTCTCCCCAAATACAGACAGCAAGTGACATGTGCTACTAGAGGGGGAAATATTCTAGATCACTGCTATTGCACCATCCGTGAGGCATACCATTCTGTCCAACGTGCTGCTCTGGGCAAGGGTGATCACCATCTCAATCATATGATCCCTCGCTATAGGCAGAGATTAAAAATATAAAAACCTGTAGTGCGTAGTTTCAGAGTGTGGTCCAGTGAGGCAAGTGAGAGACTATGTGCCTGGCTGGAGAATGCTGGCTGTGACCGGGACTTTGTTGAGTGGGCGGGGCCTGAGGCTGGAAACAATCTGGATGAATACACAGATACTGTGACATCATTTATCAGCCTCGGCGAGGAGGTCTGTGTCCCGCTCCGCCACAGGAAGATCTACAACAACGACAAGCCCTGGTTCTCAGCCCATCTCAGAAGGCTGCGGTCAGAGAAGGAGGTGGCCAGCCGGAGCGGCGACGTGGTCCCTGTTTAGGCAAGCCAAATATGAGTTTGCCAAAGCGGTGAGGGAGGCAAAACTCCGCTTCTCGGAGAAACTGCGGCGGCAGGTCTCTGAGGGGAACTCCTCCTCTATCTGGAAAGGACTTAAAACCATCACCAACTACAGGCCCAGGTCCCCGCAGGCATCTGACAACCTCCCCCTCGCCAACGAGCTCAATGAGTTCTACTGCCGCTTTGAGAAAGATTGTTTCCCCCCTGTTTTCCCTGTACACCAACAGCTGTGTCTCTCTCCACCCGTCGGTCAAGCTCCTCAAGTTTGCAGACGACACCACCTTGGTGGGCCTCATCTCCAAGGGGGATGAGTCGGCCAACAGGAGGGAGATCGAGCGGCTGCGTAACTGGTGCAGCAACAACAACTTGGAGCCGAATGCTCTGAAGACAGTGGAGATGGTGGTGGACTTTAGGAGGGACCCAACCCCGCCTCCTCCTGTCATGCTGGGTGGCACTCAGGTGGAATCTGTCCAGTCCTGCAAGTTCCTGGGGATAATTATCTCCAGGCACCTGAAGTGGGAATCCAATATCACAGCCCTCCTGAGAAAAGCCCAGCAGAGGATGTACTTCCTTCGTCAGCTGCGGAAATACAGACTGTCGAGGGCCTTGATGACCCAGTTTTACTCGGCCATCAGAGAGTCTATCCTCACTCACTCCATCATCACCTGGTTCCCCGCTGCAGCTGCGAAAGACCTTGTCAAGCTGCAGCGGGTGATACGCTCCGCAGAGAGGGTGATTGGCCATCCCCTGCCCTCCCTTAAGTCCCTGCACGACTCCAGGGCACTGAGGAGGGCGAGAAAGATCATGGCTGACCCCTCCCACCCTGGTCACGGCCTCCTCACCCTGCTCCCCTCTGGGAGGAGGATGCGGCATCTGGGGGCTAATGGTGCTTTCAGACCGGGACAGTCGTTGCGTCTGCGTTCAATGCAAAGTCAATGGGGAGTCGCGTTTCAGCGTCGCATTGCACGGACCTCTCAGCACACACGCACGGACCGCCCAGTAGAAACGCACGGACTTGGCGGGAAAGTCAAAGGGGAGGAGAAGGAGCGGACAATAAACGCCCACAGGAGATGGATCCCGCTCAACTTTTCCTCGAGATGTTCGTGCAGCGACCAATCAGAGAGCACGCACACCACTGACGTAATCACGCCACTACACAGCGTATATTTTCCCCATTGTGAGCCAGGAACCGGTCATTTAAACATGGAGGATCAGGCTGTGGACAGTCTCATTGTCGCTGTTACAAACTTTCCAGAGTTGTGGAAAGTCTCCATTCCTGAATATAGCGACAGAGCTAAGAAAGATTCGGCATGGAAGGCCATTGCGCAGCAGCTCAACCTCCCTGGTAAGTTTTTTGAGTATCATTCATTCGTAAATTGATTCTTGTTTATGCTAGTTTTTCGAGGGGAAATTCTGACTAGTATCTGATTCTTTGCAGTCGAATTTTGCAAGAAGCGATGGCGGTCACTACGTGACACTTATATGAAACGGAAGAAAGACGTACAGGGGAGTGGCTCTGCAGCGGGGACCGCGAAGTGGAGGTACGCAAGTGCCCTTTCGTTCCTCGACCCTTCCATTACCCCGCGCCCCACCACCAGCAATATGGGTAGGGTGGAGGAAGGACCCCCTGTCGATGAGGCCTCTGCGCGACCTGAAGGTTTGTACTGGGTTGAAATGGGGACATTTGACTATATGAAATTTATATCACGTCATGCTATACAATGGCCATATCTGCAATGGTATTGCTTTCTGTAATTGAAGTTTTTATAGAAGTTTTTCTTCTCTATATATTACATTACATACATTGTATACTTGCAGACAACTGCTATGTTTACTAAAATGACAATGCATTTACAGAAGACATGAGGGTGTCATCTCCTGCGTCGGGGACATCCGACGCCACTATCCCCGCCTCTACATACCACCCAAGGCTTCTGTTCCCCCAGGAAACACCTCCAGGTTAGCATCACATATCATATACTTGGTTCACGTCTGCGACCAGTTATATCTGTTGTCCGTAGTGTGCAATTTCTAAAGATGTATTTCCTCCTGTTCAACAGAGCCAAAACGGAAGAGGAGCAAGAAGGCTGATCCTCAAATATCGCCTTATGAGAGAGAGCTGCTCTCTGCACTCCAGCAGAACTCTCATCAGGGCTCACCACAGAAATCAGAGGATCAGCTGTTTGTGGACAGTCTGGTCCCTCTACTTGGGAAATTGGAGCCCCATGCCCGTTACCGAATCAAACGGAGGTTTTCAAACATAATTTACAAGGAACTTGCAGAGAAGGAAAATGCGCCACCATCCAATGTGCAGTGACCTCACTCCATGCAATTGTGTATATATGTAAATAAAAGTGTTGTGTGAATCTCTTGTGTCTATGTAGATACATTTCCTAGGTTCTTTTTAATCTTGTCATTAAGAGGCGTAGTTGTAGAAGAACCATACATTACAGAATAAATGAGCAGATAGAAAATTTATTTTGGCCCTTTACAGCATATATAGTGACATTGTAGAATTCTCCACAGCTCTGAGAATGTATAAGGCGAGTACAAAAAATTTCTATAGTTTGTTTCAGCCCTTAGTAAGTAAGTAAGTAAGCTTTTATTTATATACCGCCTTTTCACTACACATCGGAGTCTCAAAGCGGTTTACAATTGTTATTTTTTTTGGGAGTGCCAGTACAGGAGGCACATGCCATACCTATTGTACATATTTTTAGTGGTAGGGGAAACCGGAGCACCCGGAGGAAACCTACGCAGACACGGGGAGAACATGCAAACTCCACTCAGAAAGGCCCTGGTCCAACCGGGATTTGAACCCAGGACCTTCTTGCTGAGAGGCGAGAGTGCTATCCACTCAGCCACCGTGCCGCCTTAGCACCTGGTTGATGAGGGAACAAGGTTTGTTCAATGTTTAATAATAATCTTTATTTATATAGCACTTTTAAAAACAGTGTTTACAAAGCGCTGCACAGTAAGCATGATAAACAATAAAAACAGTCATAATGCAAGGTCAAAATAATTAGATACAGAAACACAAAGCAAACAGAGCAAAACACAAAACAGACTCAACAAAGACAAAGCAGACAATAAAATACAGCATCGGAAGTTTAAAACTAACAGTTAAAAGCTGTTTGATAAAAGGGGGTTTTAAGAAGAGATTTAAAAGAGGATACTGATGGTGCTAGCCTTATCTCCTCGGGCAGCCATTACTTTCTCTTGTCTCTGTGATATGCTACGGTTGTTTACTGTTGTATGCTACATTGGTCACTAGATGGCGTGAAAACGGCCCTAAATCAAGGGTCGTTTTAAACAGTTTAATTACACTGTATTATGATTAAGCAAGTAGGGATAAGGGAACAGCAACTTCACATTGTAGAATTCTCCAAAGCTCAGGTAATATAAGGCGCGTACTAACATGTTACCAAATTAAAGTACAGAGGAATGTCTTTATATGACGATAACAAATGTTGAGGGCCCAATGTTAATATCTGCCATACTCGCACAAACAGTAAGGGTTTTAGTAATATCAATTGGAGTACTAGGGAACCAAAATAATATTCTGAACTCACCTACATAAAGTCTATTTACATGATCGCAGTTTCTAATATTAAAAAATGAATACTCTATCTTTAATGTGGTGTGTGTTAAACAGAGTATTTCTCATGCACAATATTCTCTATGACTCTGTGCACGAGAAAAGGTACGAATGGACTAATCAAAGTATGTGGTACTTTATTTTCCACTAGTGAACCATTCCATTCCAAAGCTAAATGTCTGATTTGACATTGCCTATAATTGGGGCTGAATAAGAAGGATCATAGAGTAACGTTTCAAAACAAAACTAGGTACTATGAACAACTTTTAACTTGACTTCACGTCTCGTTAGCTGTAAGTGTTTACCTAAAGCATTTTAAATTAAAACATACATTAAACAAAAACAACACTTCAAGTAAGGCAAAAATTTATTAGCGCTAACAAAATGGTGACAAAGAACAGAAATGCAGTCAGTTTCTTTCGGGGAAACCTGGCTATGTGCGTTGCCAGTGCACTGCTCCTTCCTCTGTGAAATGGGCTTTGAAAACCTCCCTCACTCTCAACGCCGCTCTGGCAGCATAGTTGGCTCCGATACGACCTAGATCAGGAAGTGGGTCGGGTGCTGCAGGTCCTGCCTGCGGAGGAGCTGCCATTTCCGCTGACGGCCGCATGAAGTTGTGAAGGACACAGGTTGCCTTAACACACTTCT